ATTGCCACTTTTCAGTAGTTATTAGACACCAGACATTTTAAATGTAAATAAGAAAATTTTACTGTAAGAGTATAGCTGTGGCACCACTTACAACACATCATATTAGAAAGCTTCTAACAAATTTAAAGAAAATGTGATTTTGACTAGAAGTAAAAGTTTAAGGAAACAATAAGAAACAGCCATAGAGGTGAGCACAGTGTTCTGCTTCGTTCTTGGTGTTCAGGAGAGATGCTAAAAGATTTGTATAGAATAAACTAATGCTTGTAGCTAAAAATTAAATAAGGCCTAGTTCTTACATTTAGCAGGCTCTAGCAAAAATGTGACTGTATTAGTTTGAAATATTAGGGTAATAAGTTATTATAGCAGGTAATTCCACAGAAGGGACAGAATGAGAAAAATCATCTCCAAAAGCAGTAAGGTACAACAGGATCCACTCTCCCATGCAATTCTGCAAAAACTTACATGGCTAAACCTCGGACTTCCTCTCAGCTGAGCCAAAGGCAAAACGGCTGCTCTCTTGTGATCTCCCCACATAAGAGGGTGTTACTCATTCAGTGAGAGTGTGGAGGGTTAGGAGAGTGCACTTATTACCTGTTGCTTTTCTGTTCTTGTTCTCAAAGGTGTTCAGAGTTCAACAACAGAAAGGTATCTCTTAACTAGCTGTAGCCTGCAAGATGCAGCTGGCAGGGAAGCATAATCCTCCCTCAGTTACTCTTACTTGTTGTCTCACAACAATTGTTTAAGCAGAATTTATTTAAAGGAAAAAAGAAAGTAGCAACTAAGTAAATGCACAGAAGGGACTAATTCAAGCAACCCTCTGGATAAAAGCAGGGTAGGGCACAATGTGTCAAGGGAGTGTTTTAATCTGTCAGAAATGTGATGATTAAACGAGCAATTACTGCTTTGAATACGTACCAGCACTGGGCCCCTCCTACACTCACATAGGCGTATTTCTACATTTCTTATGCAATCTGACTGGGTGACAGACCTGCACACACACTGTTCCTAATTACTGTCAAGCAGAGAGCTGCTTTTGTGTCTCTAAATCTCTCCTGGAAGTGATTTTTCCAGCATACATTCACCATTTCACCATTCACCTAACTCGGAAGACAGTTCCCAACAAAGGGCAAAATAAACACATGTAATGCATGATAAAGCAATCTAATTAATTAGATAATATTCTCCCAGCAAAAGCAGATGGGATGGTATTAGCTGCTTTGAGTGTTGAACATAAAGTAATTATGTCAGGGTAGGTGAGACAAGGCACTTGAATGGGCACTTAAGGAAAACCAGTGAAACTCCCTGCTTTAAAAAACCCCAAGCAATCAAAAAAAAAGTACCCAACTGTCAAAGGAGAAGTTCAATGCACACCTCCTACAGGAAGTACAAATTACTTTCTCTGGGTCCCAGTCTCTCCAGAAGCATTGGTACGTGGAGATCAGAGGGAGCGTGCACAACCTGCTCTTGCACACTGCACCAGGGTGAAGCCATTAGCTTAATTTGACAAATGCCTCAATGTGACTACATACAAGAGAACTTTTGTACCTGGCAAAGGTTCAGGTGGAAATCTAAGGGTGCATGGTAAGGCCTGAGAGACCCCTGGTCATAGTGAAAGCAAAAGCTAGGCTGGGGAGGTTTGCTTAGGAAACACTAGTATTTTCTTTGCCTCAGCTGATGCAGGTATTGAGATTCCTGTCTGGTGCTAAAGCAGAGCAGGTTGGGGAAATGAGGGCTGGCCCAAGCGGAGTGGACCTGGGAGTAAATGGTAAACTGAGGAGCAGTAAATGGCCCCTTGTAACCTGGGTGGCTCCTGGCAGTCAGTGCAGGCTGCTCCACTTTGTTCTTACCCCAGCCACCTGCAAACACAGCAGGAGATCATGCTGGACCTGACCTCTGCTGGCAGTGTCCAGTTCCTGATGAGTGTGATATGAAACCCACCCATCTCCTTGCTTCCTGCATAGGCCATTGCCTGTGCCTCGGGACACTCTGGGCAGGAGGGCAGCATGCCCTGGCCTCCAAACTGCCATCATGGAATCCCCATGGGCCCAGGCCTCCTGCCTCAAAAGGGGCACAGTGCAGCTGTAGGCAGGGCTGGGGGGCCCAGCTAGTCTGGGCTGCTGAGTCAGTCCAGGAGGCCACCCAGCTCCTCTGCCGCACACCATAGAGGGATCAGCCCTCGGCTGCTTCAGCAGAGCTTGGGGACACGGAAAGCACTCAGCTCCTCCCACCGCTCCTGGAGCGTGGCTGCCACCGGGCAGAGGATGATGTGGAGCAGCCGCCGCTCTCCTTGTGAGTCAGGACGGCCGCGTGAGGCCCCGGCGCTGGCCCCGACGCCTTCCTGCCCGCCTGCTATCGCGTGCCTCTCCCCGGGATCCTGAGCCACCACATGGCCCTGCAGGTAATTGCCAGGGAGGGGTTCGGGAGCGTCGTGTGGTTGAGACTGAGGGCGTCTGGGGGTTGTGTCTTGGCTCTCGGTACACTGCTGGGTTGTTGATAACTCCCTGAGGTGTCACACTGCTTTACAAGGGCTTGTGGTGCTGTGGGTGCGAGCCAGAGGGCTTCCCTGTAACCTCTGTGTCTTCCTGACTACACTTACCTATCTTCTAAAAAAAATACATATTTTTTTTGTTTGGTTGGTTTTGGGTGGTTGGTTGGATTTTTATTTTTTATTTTTACAAAATCCTCATGGCAATCCCTGCACTTTATGTGTAGATGAAGACTTGTTTGCCTTAACTTTACTCAGACTACAAACATGAGCTCTTCTGGCTTCTGATGAGCTCATTTTCTTCCTTTCAGAGCTTTCCAAGGACTACAGAGAGGAGCACACAGAGCATAAGGAGAAATACAAACCAGGTAATTTCCAGCTGTGTATGTAAATGCATATGGGAGCACTGACATTCTGTTTCCAGCCCAGCTGGAAAACAGGCAGCAAACCAGCTCAGGTTGGCAGCAGCATGGCCGCCATGTCTGGGCTTGCTGTGAGAGCTGAGGGAGGAAGCACCGGTGCTGTGGCAAGGGGTGGATGGGCTATGACTACTCCCTGCTAACTCCGTGGGGCCAGTCACAAGACTTTTGCTACTTCTCTGTTGCATTTCAACCATATTTGACAACAGGAAGGCAAGCAGATGAAGAGCAGGGTTATCTTGCTGGTGGCATTGCCCAAGGAGCTTAGTATAGGAGCAGTTTCAGACTGAGCTTGTGTGGATCAGTTTTTTGTTGTCTTGCTGGAAGAAGCTACCAGCTTTCAGCATAGCCACAGCCCTCCAGGACATTATCTGTGGAATCAGCTGCTAGGACCTACCTGAGACTTGCAGGTGCGCTTTATGAAGTTGGTTTGGTTTGGTGTGAGAAAAGGGCAGGGAGGGACTTAGTGTTTATGTTTAAAGTAAAATTTAGCAAGATTTGTTGTCATCATGTAACTTAAAATGAAAGGTGAAAGTAGTTCCAAAGGAAAAAGGTTTAGGATTATCTGTTTTTTGTCTTGAAGCAAAAAGTTTTATTTCACTTTATTTGTATTTTTTGCTATCCCATTGTACAATTTCACTCAGATATATATCATCAGCAGCTAAGCAAAAAGTTGTTGTGTACAGTGGTTATTGACCTCACTTTCTAAACAACTAGGAGAAGTCTGCACACAAATCTTATTCTGATATGTTAAAAAGACCTCACTGCAATTAAGTTCTGATTTACTGTGGGGGAAAGCAAGATGATGTCTGTTGTTCATGTCATTCCTCAGTGAGCTCATGGTAAGGCTGGAATGCCAGTCTGTCATCATCTTTCTCTCTTTATGAAGTATAATCAACTAAATCACTTTAAAAGCATACAGTAATTAAGTGCCTGTATTTGTCCTTTGTTTAGATCTGATTTTCTTTCCAGAAGAGCCACAGGGGAATTAATTGTCCATAGTCTAACAGAAATTAGGTACCCAACTTCCTTATTTACGTAAACCTTGGTGACTGGGCTTTGCTATGCTTGGAGGCACAGAAAGGAAGATGGGAGCAGATGCTGGCTGTTTCTTTTGTGGCAACCAGGACTTATCATAATGGGGTGCATAAATGCATTAGGCAAATGTGCTTCCAGTGGTACAGCTGAGCAGTCTGGTCTTAAAGTAAATAACTCTGAGAGCAAATGAAGTTGACAGTGTTTCCTCTGCCTTCAGTGTTGAATCTGCTCTTTGTGCGTGGTGGGACAGATATGCTAGTGCCTACCTGCTCATTTTGTCTTTGGGATAACACAAAGCCAGCATAAGGCAGCTGCTGCGGCAGGTTCATGTCATGGGAATAGCAACATGCATCAAATGTGCCAATGGAAGTGGCTTTCACTAGGTATTAGGAGCACCAAAGACAAACCTCCTGAATTTCACTCAACAGTAAAATATGTGGATTTTTTATAAATATGTTTATGAAGGGCAATTCATCAGTTAAAAAAGAAATTTTTATATTTAAAGTAATTTTTGTCCCTTTAGGCCTGATGTTTCAACCATGCGTTCCACAGAGAGGCCTAAAGGGTATAGCTTACAAAAGCAAACATTGTTGCAAGGTGTAAGATGAGTAAACAGGGAGACAAGAAAGATACTGAGAAAGGCTGAAAACCATAGCTGGGGATACACAATGACACAGAAATTACACTCTTTATTGTGCAGCCAGGAACGAGTTTATCCAGGGTGTGGTATATTGGGTTCCTGTGTTTCAACACTGGCTGTTGCTTACAAGGGCAGAGACGGCAGATGCATTTCCTGCATTCCCTATCGGGTGCTCACAGTCTCACATTGCCAGCCTTTGTCACACAGTGCTGCTGCCACAGCTGCAGCAGCAAAGGCTGCAAGTCAGGCAGGGCCTGTGGGAGAGGTAAAAAATTCTATTAGACTGATTGATAGAGTTCAAAGCTTGTCTGTCCAAAAACTTGCCAGTCTTTCCAGGTATTATATCAGGTGGTTAAACACAAGGTATTATCTGCTGTTGTAGGTGCCTTACATAGAGTTATTATCAGGAACAATTTAATTGTTGTTTTCTCACAATAGACCTAGGAAGGCAGGTAAGCAGTTGTCTGGGCTTAGCCTTTTGAAGTGGATAAAGGGATTGTGTAACTTTCCCAGAACCAAACAGCAAACCAGTGGCTAAAACGAGTTTCAAACTAAGGACCTTATCACTTGAAGAGCACTTTTGCAGGCTAGGAAAGGAGAAAGCCCCTGGAAAAACCAACGTATCAGGAATGTGGGACCTCGGCCCTTGTTCCAAAAGGTTTTGCAGCTATTTTGAAGTCTCTGTGTCTAATTTCTTTTATCTGAGAACTGATATGCTAAAAAGTTGTTCTGTTTCCAGAATGAAGATAGGTTTGCATGTGTGTTACACTGTACTTCTGAAGGTATTCTCTGGGCCTGGTTTGGGTTTTGTATTAGAATATTTTTCTGACTGATCTGAGGGGGCTTTAGAGAACTGAAACTGCCTGTTGGAAAAGAAACAGTTCTCCATCTGGAAAATTTAAAGGAAATACTTAGGTATCAAACCGCTTGATTGGAAGTGTTTTGTTGAATGGACTCAAGTCATATTGTAAGAAAATGTGTATGGGTATAAATGGTTTTTCTGTTGTGCCCTGCATGGTGGAAACTACTTCAGGCTCCCAAGAATTTTTGCATCTCTTAGTACAATAGTATCTTAGTTGAGATGCTGCATGAGAGGGGATGCAGTCAGAGCAGGATACTGGACCATGGTGGGCAGAGGCAACTGTTCAAAACTACAAAAAATGCATCATCAGAATAAAACAGCCTCAACCCAAAATTTCTGGGGAGAGTTTAGCAAAACAAAAGGAAATATTGAATTTTGGAGATGTCAGAAAGCTTTGTTTCTATGAAAATACCAGTGAGAAGTCTGAGATCGACGCAATTTTGTAATTCATAAACCTAAGGTTAGTGGAAATTTTCTTTCTATGACAGCCTGGGAAGAACAGATGTTGAAGTGTCAAAGTCTTCTGAGTGCCAAGGGTTCTAAATCTTGCAGGGTCTTCCTATGAACCATTGTCACTGTCTTCCCTAATTAGTACATTGTAAGTATAAGGATGTAAAAGGCACAGAATAAACATTGCTTTGTGAATAGAACAGGGCCTGTTACTCACATCTGTTGTAAATAGTTAATGAGGCATCTTGGTAGTTGTAAAAAAACCACCAACATGAATGATCAGGTCATTTCTTTTCATTTTACTCATGCTGATCAGACATTTGTTCTTCCTTAATAACCAAAGGCCAGCTCAGCAAGACTCACTCAGAGGTGTCCCCAGAAGGTAAATGAATCATGATGTGAAACTCCCATTGCAACAGAGAAGGGATTTCAAAACTAAAGTGCCGACAGGTAGACGCCACGTTTTCAAAAAAGCAAATCTAACTCAGAAAACCAGAGATCTGTTTCTAATATGCTTTTTTTCCTCTTTTGAACAGGCACAGCAATGGAGAACTTGAATGCCCTACTCCCAGACCTTACTGAAGAGCAGCAAGGTAAGTGTAGTGCATGAAGATCAAAGTTTAGGCTCATTCACGCTACACAGCAGTGTTTGCTAGAGTGATTATGAGTCAAGGAAACTTGTTTCCTCTGAAAACACACTCCATCCATCTCCTTGCTTGTAAAAAGAGACCAGCAGTCAGTTCCCAGCCCTTCCACAGGCTTATCGTCAGGCCTTAAGTGTGGGCTGGTGGGAATTCAGATGACTGAAGTAGATTTTGTTGTGCATTAAATGCCTGATGAGGTGTCTCAATAACCTGGTATCCAGCCCTTTCTGCCTGTCTGTAAAACAGCATGGTCGGAATAAGTATCCATTAAATAGCCAGGAATACTTCCCCTGCTTCTCTGAGACAAAGGCATCAGTAATTTGTGTGGGGTTTTGACATTTTTCTACTGATTTTTGCCAGACTGAGTTGCGTTACATAACACAGCGCTGCTGTTTCCTCTACACTCATGTGCGGATGCTGGGCAGTGTGTATTGAGAGTCTGATGTCTGTCACCATACCTGTGCTCATCACGGTAAAAGCACTGCCCTGCAACCCACCTCTTGCTGCACAGTGATTTGTTTGTTTTCCCTTCCAGACATTTTCCGGAGGGCTTTTACTGCTGATGCCAGTTACTTGCAGAATCATGAGGAAACAAATAAGTCCTTCTGGGAATCACTTGTAAAATGTTTAGCCGCTATCGATCCACCTGTCCTGAGTACTGAAGACAGGAATGTAAGTTAACTGAAGACACGTGCATCCTTTGAGAAACATTGTTATACAGATACTTCTGTAATTTGGAGAGAGAAAACATACAATCTAATTAGTTGATATGCTAAAACATATCTAAAATATGGAAGTGCTGTAAGAGGGCACTTAGATAAATGAGACTCAGGCCCCTGGTTTTTCCTTCATTGTTCTCCATGTGCAAAAATAACTGCCTTTGTGTAAACTCCTCAGGATCTGTCCAGCTCAGTTTTCAAGGCAATACCATTGTTAGTGACATTTTTGCTGTAAGATACTGCAGAGATTCCATGTCCATTTTCACACCCTGTATTTCTGTAGCTCTTTAGACAGTTAACTGTTGTACACAATGTTTTTTTTCAAGTTTATGGCTCAGCTATGAGTTGCTGAATGGAGTTTGCATTCTCTTCCCATCTTTGGCATTACTCTGTCCCTGATTTCCCTGTTGTGTAGTAGGATCAGGGGATTACCTTTCCGACAGATGGGGCAGGATACATTCATTTATATAGCGGGGCATGTTTTTACAGGTTATGTTTTGTTGGTAGGACTATTTGCTATTTACTTACTTTTCTTTCAGCTCGTCAACAACTGCAGTGTCCCGCCTGCAGGCTGTGCAGCCTGCCTGAAAGCCATAGAGGAGGAAGGAGTGAGGGCCATGACTGTTCTCTACCTCTTGCTGAAGACAAGAAACCCATCTGGATACAGGGAGCTGCCCAGCTCCAAGGGAAAGGGTGAGTCCTACCCAGCTGCACATCAGCTATTTTATCAAAATTACTGCAGTGCCAGTGGGACTTGACATTAGTTTGAAAATGCTTGGAAGTGATTATTAGTGAACAGCTAAAATGTCTAAAGTACTGCTTAGGAAAGTCAGTTAGGCATGGTGATAATGGGAGCCAAAGACAGTATTTTACTTTAGTTTGATTTCACTTCTTCTCAGGGAAAAAAACACATGTATTCAGGGAGAGAGGATATCCTGTCATAGTGATGCTAAACAAATTTCTCTGACTCAAAGTCATGTCATGGTTTTTCCTGTCTAACTGGATTCATGACACCTAGGACACTTTTTTGCACAGACTGTTATCCAGCCAGCCCGGACCTCCCTGAGCTCTCACAGTGGTGAGGAATCCAAGCTGAGCCACTGAAAATATTTTTGCAAGTGACTGTAGGAGCACATGTAATGCACAGAGGATAGAGCCACTCAGGATGCTAAACCTGGCAACAAGGGTCAAATAGACTCCACTGCATTTCTCATGCTTGGGCGTGCAGTAAGAAACTAAGTGCAGTTCCACAGGGTCCATAAAATCATTGTCTTTCTTTAATAGATTACAAAGCTGCACTTATTAAGATGACCCTGAATTTAACTGGATACCCTTAAGGAGATTCTGTTCCCCTTTTTGCCTTGATCAGACATGTTCATGAAGGTTTCTCCTCCCAGTAATTTGGCCTGGCTGGCTTTGAGGGCTCTGCTCTTGTGCCACAGGAGGGTGCTGGCACTATGGCATGAACACAGGGAATCTTGCAGAAGTCAGGGGTGAAGGGAGAAGTAACCCAGGGAAGGGTGAACAACTATTCTCCAACTAAAGCATCTTTCAGCTGCAGCTGCTGTTGCTTCAGGGAATGGGAGTTTTCATAGAGGTATCATTATGAGTAAATTAAAGGTCAGAATATGAAACTTTAGGCATCTCCCATACTCTTTTAGGGAAGTCTTAACAGTACTGTGTATGATGCTTTAATCTGTAATGCTTTGTACTTACTCCTTGTGTGCAAAAACCATGGCTGAAATAAGACTAAGGGTCTGATTTCCCAACAGGTAACTTTTAATTCAACCATTGTGAAATCTGTCATTGTAAAAGAGAGTAAATGTGAACAGTTGTTCCTAATACCTTTTTCTCTATTGATAAAACAGATGAAAAACTGAAACTCCTGAAGAGATTAGAAAGGAATCTTGTGCATTCACAAGGTGATAAAAAGGCTGAAAACTCATTCCAGGAGTCCACGGATGAAGATACACAAGGTAAAGAGGATTTATTTTATTTTTCACTGATACGTAATTTAATCTGATTGCACGTTCAATGAGAGATTCACATCAGACTTGCAGCAATTCTGCAGAACTCTGGAAAAAATAGTGAGAAATTATTTAAAAGAGAGAGCAGAGAAAATAATCAGTACGTCCAGATTCATTATTGCTAAATAGTGGCTGCCTCCTGCTCTTGTGGAAGTTGGAGGTTTCAGAAACATGGAATTCTGCTGCAAGATTTCTTCCCAAATAAAAAGTCCTAACTTCTGTGATCTTCAGTGCTTATAGTCCAGCTGAAGCCTGTGTTACAGGGGGAGGCCAAGAACAATCAGTGTACTGTAGGAGCTGCCAGTGCCATGGTACTTACGTGAGCAGTGCTGATGTTCCTGTTTCAAATAAGAACTTTCTCACTACACCCCTTTATACAAATTATTCCAACTTCAGATTTTGCTGGTTTTCTCCTATTCAGCCAGCTTGGCAGAGAGCTGTGAGGCAAAAGCACTTGACAATGATTCTTGCATTTCAAAGCCTTGATTTTTACCTACATATCCTATAGCTATTATTATGAGCAAACAGCTATAGTGCTGTTGTTTCTGATACTGCTGGCACATTTTTCTTTAATCTGATGAAAAACCACTTTGTCTATGCAGACAGTGATGGAGAAGATTTAGGAAGACAGAAGACTGAAGGCCAATTACTTGGAGGTAGGACAAAGTCACAACAGTATTGTTTTTACTAAAGATAACCAATATAAGCAAGAAAAGATGAATAATTTCTGGCATTCTTTGGTTTGACATTTGAGCAAACAAGCCTGTACAGACATAGGAAAATGACCAGTCAGAATCTGGCTGTATGAAAGGCATTTCCTACAAGATGAAGCTCAAGTCATACCAATGCTTACCCATGCCCTGTGCTTAGAGTTTAACCAGGAGAATAGCAAAACCTGCTGTGGTGGGAGAAGTCCTGCTGCCTGGATCTGCACCACTGCCGTTGAAATGCAGCAAAAGAGCTTTGAAAATACCTGTCACAGCCACTACTTACAGGGGTTGCAGTCAGCCCTCAGCGCTGACCAGAGATCAGAGAGAACCACACCTTGGGTCTCCTTCCCAAGGCTTTTCCTTTCCTCCCAAAGGAAAAATGGAAAATAAGTACTATGCAGCTGAAGAAAATGTGCTGTGTCAACACACAGAAATAGCTGTCAGCTTATGGTGTAGAAACACAGATGTAAAACAAAGCTTTAATCACTTAATGTCTGAAATTGATCTCAGCTCAGATGTAAGGCTGGCTCACTTAAACTGACATTAGGAGATCTAATTTTTCTCACAGGAGTCTGATTCCACCTGAGCCCAGATATTGAGAGATGGAATGTGAGGTGTTAATAATCCATTTATGTTTCCTTCATTCATACTGCATAACCCACAGCTAAGATGCCCTCTCTAATGGCTGGAGCTGGGATCTGCCTTGTCACTTTTACACAATCACACTAATTTCAATAGAGGTGCATGGGCTAGGACTGGTGGCAAGCTATGTGTATTCATCAGGGGCATTAATCTGTATCATCTATGTGTAATATTTTAGGTGTACCAGCAGAGGTCGTTCCCTACACAGATTCAGGTAAACATTCCCAGATAATCTCATCCTCCTGAAAGGAAGATTCTAACTGTAGTTTCTTCTTTCTTATATATTAAAAAACACCCGTACAGTTTGGTTCTAGCTTCAGTTCTAGCAACTGGACACGGAGCCCATCAATCTCTTACTGCCCAGCTGTTTCAAAGAACGCAGGATCACTGTGACTAGTCAGTTTTATTCTTATCTGGTTTTGGGCTCTTTTAACTTCCCTGATTTCCTGGCACTTTCAAGTAATGTTTTGTCTATAATGTGTCACCAAATATGCAAATACTGGCTGTGCTTGCTAGTGCTGATAATGACGGGAAACAAGGTATTTGTATTTTACCATCAGAAATAAGGAAACTATGTTGCTTTTCAGCGATTACCAGAAGAGAAGATTCAGTTGAAGATGGTAAGTACAGACAAGCAGAAGCTTTTTTTTTTGTGAGTGCTGCCTTTCAGAACTAAGTTTTGATTAGTGATGATAGCTATACTAGCTCCTTGATACCCAGATATTTCCTTATCAAAAGGTGGAAATTTGAGAATAGTTATTAAAATGCATTAACAGAAGAAATACCATGCAAGTCATCCCATGACACAAAGGTGCAGTGGGACTATTGCATTTAGGAGGCAGAGTAATGCAGAACTCACCCAGCATGAATTGGTATTCTTATAAATTCTGCATCTGTGGATCATTCATACAAGTGCAGAGAGGAACATTTGTGAGTCAGGCTAGTGCAACACTATGTTAACATTAATAATCAAATAACTGAGTTTGTCCCCAAACCAGAACTTGTTCAATCTAGAACGCTGAAATAATCAATTTAAAAATATGACCCAAACCAGAATTTTTTTGTCATAAGTTTAGTTGCTTCGTGGTTTAAAAAGCACAGCAGCAAGAGCCTATAGCTCATTTGGAATACATTTCCAGTACTCACCTGTTGCATCTTTAGAGAAAATGAAGTTCACTGCCAGGCAGCGGTTGCCTGTATGCACAGACCAGTGTAAGTGAAATCAGCACCTAGAACTAGTGATGAATCAACTCCCAAAGGCTGACACACAGCAGCCTGCCCAGGGGTCTTCTGTGAGCAGCAAACAGAAAAAGGAAAAAAGCCTTCTGCTCTGCACATGTCATTGGTGATCTGGTAAAACATTGAGCTCTTGGGGACAATACGGTTGGAAAAAGAGCACAATTTGGCAACTGCACACAACTGGCATTGGGCGAAATACTCTCTATTTAAGCCTCTAAAAACATCTAGCTTGTTGTTATGTTATTCTTTCTATGTATCAGTATGCTAGCTCAGGAGAGTAATTGCCAGCTACGGTTCTTAATTTTGGAGGTACAGAAATACTTCAGCATCAGGCATAAGTAGATTGATGGTTCTTATATGCTTGGTAATGAAGATGGTTGTATTATGGTGGCTGTGATTGTGCAAAGCACCCAAGAATCAGACTGAATCTTCCTTGTACTTCTGCTTCACTCCCACTAATGCTGAGACTACCAATTGTCTCAGACTAGATAGAAAAGACTCGGAGTGCTTTGAAATAATTCTGTATTGTTAATAGAACCATCTGATTATGCCTTTTTAAAAACAACCAACCTGCTTTTGGGGGTGATTTAAAGATTGACAACTTGAGCTGAAAGCCTCCTAGATCTTTTCCTTTGAACAGTTTTATATCTATTTTGTTCTGAGAATCGATTAAAGAATTCCATGGTGATAAAAGGCAGTTCTTTTTTGTAGCATATGACGAGAACCCTCACCTCCATCAGTGGACAGTTCGATGGATGGGCATACGTAAGGATGGTAATCTTTTTAAATTTATTTTTTTCTTTCAATTCAATTGACGCCAACCCTGTTAAACCTTAGTCCATGAATAAGATCTCTGGTTCAAAAAACCCCTATGCTTTTTGACATGAGTACTTTGTTGAAATGCATCAAGGCTTCTTGATGAAAATCATCACAGCTTCTTGTAACACATGCATGGATGTTTTGTAATTGAACCTGGTGTACAAGACATCTTGTGGAAATAGACTGTATTAATTGAGCCATAGATACACTGTATCTTAAGGTGTATTTGTAAGGGCTGTGCCTGCAGTTGTGACCTGATTTTCCCCTCTCTATTTCAGACGAATTCTTTCATTTTGTAATTCTTTGCTTTGCAATTGGAGCTTTACTAATTTGCTACTACTACTACAAAGGTAAGGCAAGACTTCAACAGAAGGATAAATTGTTGCATACTGGAAAAGCGATCAAAGCCAAACCTTTAGTTTCTTGCCTTAGATTGGACTATTTCGGTTGGAACTGGTTTGGTCACCTTTGCTTCCTTGGAAACCACCGGGATCTACTTTGGTCTAGGTAAGTGTATCTACAGCAGACAACTCTGTATCTGCACTAAGGGTACAAGGTCACACAGTCATTGAGCAATGAAATCCATAGAATGGCTCATGCTGTGATGCTGTACGTCACCATGGAGTGATCCTGTAACATCTCATCCACCATTCCAGTGTGGCTAGAGATAAATGTGCCTTAGCGACAATGAAGGGAAAGGTTGACTCATTTTTCATTCTCAATGATCACAAGACCCTGAGTCACCTCTTCCCCCAGCAATGGCTGAATGCTAAGTTGCCATGACAACAGACAATTTTAGCAGCAGAGCAGCCTTCCCAGATATGCTCTATAAGGTGCTGCACACTCAGGCTGCCATTCAACCCCTGGCACTGAGGCGGCTGAACCGGGATGGCGGCAGCTACTGAAAATACTATTAAAAATATGGGCATTCTCAGCTATTCCATGGGATGTGGCAAGAAAGGTGCAACTAGCAGCAAGTCACAGCTTCCCAACTGAGAACAGGAGTCACTGCTGTAATCCTGGGCTAACGTTTTTGGTAGGTTGTGGCTGGTCCTCAGAAACCAGCCTGGTCACAACTTTCTTATTAATGATATTGCACACATGCTTGTTTAAATAGGGATCTTGGGTTCATTGATACTGCAAATGCCAGTGTTTGGGTTTTGCAATTTTTCTATGTTTTATGTTGCTGTCTGGCTCACCCTGACAAAATGTGTTTGTTTCTGCCATTAGTGTACCGAATTCGGAGCGTACTTAACAGCTTTGTTCCTCTGATTGACAAATTCAGGCTACCAGGTAACGGTGACCTGTTACTGACTGCATGCATAGTCCTTGGATCTTTCTGGGTGCTTCATTTTAGTAAAGTCTTAAGATGAACTTCTCCAAATTATGATTTCCCATCTTCCTAATTAAAAATAAAGAAAAAAAAAAAGTAAAAATATTTTACTCTAGTTCATTATAGCTGCCTGGGGTTGAAAATGAATTATTCTTGACTCTCCTTGTGGCAGAGCATTTTCACATTTCTAATACTCTGCCTGGTGTGGGATACTGTTTCCCGACAATGTCTGAATAAGAATTCTATATCTCAATTAAAAACAGAGGGAGTGGGAGTAGGTTTCTCATGCTGGGTCTTCAGACAGACTCCAGGCTCATATTTGTCTGTGTTCATGAAAGCAGAATATGAAGAATGCTGAACAGCTGTATAGATATGTGACAATTTGCAAACAATAGTCCTGACATTCATCTTTTCCTTCATCATGCAGGTATGAGGAAGGCTGACTAGGAGGAGCGTTTCAGGAGAGTTCCACAGAACCCTGCTGTCCGAATTTCTAGTATTAAAGAGCTGCTTTATGAGGTGAACACACAAACCTAATGGCTAATGTGAAATAACGAAATGTTAAACCATAGAAAGACATCATTCCTTCCCCACAAAAATAAAGCTGAAACCTCAGTACAGGGCCCTACTCTTTCTGGAGCGAGTCATGGCTCAGCAGAGCTCATAGACAATCTGGACATAGGGTTATATTAATTGCATTAAATATAAACACATTCTCCTTCCCTCCCCAGTACAATCATGTTAGCCTGCCTATGGTTTATCAAAATCAACACAATGACCACTATTATCCTTCACTGTTTCTGGATGTTTCAGTAGGAATCTTGGCACCCACAAAGCTGCCTCCTCTTCACCCTGTGATGCCACAATCCAGGCACACATCAGCCTCTTGCTTACACAGCTGAGCCCTAACAGTGCAACAGCACTGAAGCAGATTAATTTATTGTGGCAGAACTCAATACAGTGGGCGTATAATGATTTCACCCCATGAAAGCTGGGTGAGATGTAACATGCAGTGACAATAATGATACAGGAATGAGATTATTAAGAGCAGCAAATTTCATCTCACTTTCTGAGGGGAAAAATAAAGTGCTTAATTTAACTCATCCCCCAACATTTTTCTTTGAGTAAAAGAAAGTGCAACTTTAACATCCCTTTCATTTTACAGGGGCATGTTGCACATTATATATGTAGGGCTAATGCAGTTATACCCATAGAAAAATGAAGGCACCAAGTCATACAGAGAGAGCCATAAAACATGGAACTGTAAGGAAATGTAGATCTAAAAGCCATTAAATCCAAGCAACCCAGAGTTTTAGAGAAGCAATTTCAAGCCTTGCTTAGAAAATTAAAGCACTTACTTACATTTCAGTTGCACTTAATTCTAAGCACCAACGTGGATCATTCTTGTTCACTGCAGCTCCATTTCCACATCCAGAAATGCCAACAGATGTATGCAGGTCTGCACCCACAGAGCCTAGCAGGTATCTAGCATGGCAGGGGTTAAGCCAAGTAAGGATGGATACAATTTATTTGTAATATTTATATTCTCATTTACATGTCTTTGTAGAAATTCTGTCATACCAAAGTACTATATCTTCTGTGTTGCTAGTCTGCAAATAGTCTTGCTCAGCCCAGTATGGTGGCGTTAATGTCAAATGGTTTTTGGGTGAACAGAAAGTCTATGCACAGTCACCCTGCTCTGAGGAAAATCAGTTTCCTTTGCTGTGCAACATCTTTCTGAAAAGTAATTTGTGGAATAGTCAGAATGAGAAGCATTTTAGTACTAAATATATTTTCCAATCTGCTTTTTGACTGCAAATAGCAGTCAACAAAATGAGTTTTTTTCATAAACAAGCTGCTTAAGGGTAAAATAACAAAACATTTAAAACTCATCCAGTGGAACCCATCATGTAAGATGAACTCTCCCAACTGACAGCAGCTCACATAAGAAGAGTCAGGTCTAAAGAAAAAATCAACTTGCATATTTAGTTGCATCCTTTCAGGTACCTGGGAACTTCCTGCTCTTTCAGCTCCTTCCCCAGTCCATCTCTGCAGTTTAAACATCCTGTCTCTTGACCAGTGACAACACTCTTACTGTGGTCTTGCACATCACCCTTACTGCAACACTAGCCAAGCACTCAAAAGCACAAGTTGTTCAGGAGGCTTTCAACCTCCTTAACTGAGGCTGTGCTCACTGAGCCTCCATTCTCCAGGTCCAGCAGGTCCCTCCCGTACCCAGGACTCATCATTCAGTCCCACAGGTCCCCCGGCCCTCCCCCTTTCCCTAGTACATCTCCCCCTGCTTCGACATTACCCAGCATGTATGGTATTTCCTCTTTGCCTTTGGCTTTACATGGCAAGGACAAAACCAGAAGAGCAGAAGCAAAGTCACAAGTTCCCCTCCTGCAGTCCATGTTCCTGCTTTTCACTATCCAGTGTCCAACACCCTCTGCAGAACCCCCTTCAAGATGAGTTTAATCTTCAGCAGTAAGTTGGACCAAACCTGAATGAGTTACTCAATTCACTCTAGGCTGCAATGCCCGGCGCCTATTTCCCTGCTGAAGCACAGCCCACTCAGACCTTCAGCAAACACCCAACCACTCCAGTGCCAAAACTCACAGCAGGGAAGGATAGTTGCAAAGCAGAGACTCTCACAGCAGGCAGGCAAAGGGCTGCTGCCCACACATTACTAAATAACCTGGAGGTTTTCCAATGACTGTTACCCCAACACTACACAAAACTCTGCAGGCAAACAAAGAGATTAAAACCCAGAAGGTTTTTTTCAGCTGGTATTTTTATTAGAACTCTCTACATAAAGCACCTTTGCCTGCCTTAAACTTACAGTACTTCTCTGAACATTGTTGTTCCGTAATCGCACAAGATGCTTCAAACTACTCCGCATTTCTCGATTTGGACACTGCCACCTTAACAGCTTGCACAATAGCATCTTTATCAATGCCAAACATCTTCAGGAGCTCAGCTGACTTCCCACTGCGTGGTACATGAGATACAGCCAAGCGATTGACTGTGATCCCAGGCTCACCCACCACTACAGCACACACTGCTTCCCCAATGCCACCTGTGGAAAAAAGAAGTTAAATAAGACATGTATTGGCATGTTACCACAGGCAACTTGCAGGTTGTGTGTATATCTGATCCAAAGGTCCATGCAAGCTAAATCCTCAATTCACAAGCTTATGAGAAACATCAATCACAATGTATGTCTGAGTTGCCCATTTGTGAAATGAAGACAATTCCCTGTTTCCAAGGCATTCTGAGGACAAGCAGCCTGCCATTTCTGAAGTACTTGCAAATTGGCAGTGAGAAACATGTACCTCCAGAGGGCACAGAGCTGTCAGGAAGCCCTCACCACTTCAGCATCAGCTACAGAGGGCCAGGTTTAAAATATATTTAGACTGAGGAGTATTTACAATGTGCTGAAAGGCTGAACTCCCACCAATCTCTATGGCATTTAAGAGCTCCATCTTTTCAGAATGCCTGTACATGCTGCTAGGCACCTCTCTGAGTTATGCAACACATTCACAGCCTTTGCTCAGAGCTCAGTTCACACCAAATCACTATCAGGGATTTACAGACTGAATCATAATCATACAAAGGATGTAACGGGGAACTGTGTGGCAACAGGAGAGACACTGGAAGCAGGAGTATGAGGAAAGAAGAAAGCACAGGACTAGTGTCAAGAGCATGTGCTCTTGAGACCTGGTAGGAGCAATACCTTGGTCCTACACTTCAGTTAGGGTCTATCAGGCGTTTCACAGCTCCAGACATAGTGTGATTTAAACCAGTCAAAGGGCCTCCAGCTAGAGGCACCTCCATGGATATGGCTGGTAAGATCAACGTGATGTGGGCCTGCAACGCACTCAGGCTTGTGAGTGTGTACACCTGACCTTCCTTGGCTGCATCACACAGAGAGGCATGCCACAATAATTTGCATGTTCCTCACCTCCGACTGTGATGATTTTGATATCCTGCAAATCTACAGTAAAATATTCGTCCAGAGTTTTAAGATAAGCTAGAAGACAATGAGGCTCAGTGATGCTACTGTCATCCATACTCTGGAATGAAAGTACTGTGTAACCAGCACTTATGGCAACACCAGCTCACTTCACATACCTGGCAAGAGTGATGCTCGCCTTAAATTAGGATAATATTCTCATAATTATATCTACTAATTTCTATTAGTAGATATCACAGATACCTACTAATGCCATAGTTCACAGCTGCCCCTCTGCTAATTTCTCCATCTCCCCCGAGAAGATCAAGTCTGACATGATTCACAACTACTCCTTTCACACAGTCTCATCTTCAAGGGACATGTTTGCACAGGCAAGCCCTTGAAAACCTGTGTCAGCAAGACATGTCAGAGAGCAAGCGGCAGCAGATTAACCAAATTAACTCCACTTGGCAGCTGGTCACAAGTGGTGCTCCCCAGGGCTCAGTACTGGGGCCAGTTCTGTTTAATAACTTTATCAATGATCTGGATGAGGGGATGGAGGGCACCCTCAGTAGGTTTGCAGATGACACTGAGCTGGGTGGGAGTGTTGATCTGCTGGAGGGTAGGAAGGATCTGCAGAGGGGTCTGGGCAGCCTGGGTCAATGGAGGACAATTCTATGAGGTTCACTCTGGAATTTATCCCAGAGTAACTGGAAACTGCCAAATCATCTGATTTCAAGCAACCTGGAATTGCCCTTTTGGATACAGGGAAAACTTAAAAAACCTGCACAGCTATGGTCTCTCTCATAACTTAAACTCTGACAACTACAGCTGCTGTAAAAGCTATCTGAGAACATTCCATGCAGAATCACTGCCCCACAGCAGGAACTTACAATTTCAGTGAACACAAATGACTCAAGACTTCACTTGGACCAAGCACAAGGAAGGGCACACAAGCTGATCAGAAAGGAGCCCTGATTAACCAGTTATATCTGAGGAAACTTTCAATCCTCAGTGCTCAGTGTCATCTTATAATCTTTAAGAGTAATAAGAAAGAATAAAACCTCTCTTTTGCTTTAACCTAATGACAGCAACAGGTCCCAAACTTCTCTCTCAGGTTAGAAGCTGTGAGGTTCCAATCCCTGGGGAATAACTGTATGGACAGTGACCTCCTGAACCCAGCATACCTTCATGGTAATGGTCCTCAACAGTGATGATTCTGCCCTTGGTCGCTCTTGCACTTTCCAGTATTGTCTTCTTATCCAGGGGCTTTATAGTGAAGGGATCAATCACACGGATAAAAATTTTCTCTGCAGAAATAGAACAAAATGAATTGCAACATGAATTTGGAGAACGCAAGACAAAGACAATGCAAGCAGTTCAGGCAGCCCCTGCAATCTTTCAGGGCCATTATGAAACCTGCTTACAGGTATACAGGTACCCCAGGTATCTGTACCAATGGCTTGTCTACCACTGAACCCAGGCAACCCCAATTTTTGTGTATTATTTCTTCATGCATCTGGTGAGATAGTAGCATCTGTCCATGCCGCAGGCAGGACTCTTGAGGTAGAAAAGTCTTGGATAAGTGACTCCAGGTAACCAGGAGTGGCTGTCAGCAGCACAGTAATCTAACTGGCCGTGCCACAGATAACAGCAGAATCCGTTCACCAGGAAATCCTTCTTATTCAAACTGTCAATCACAATTTTTTTCCCAGACCTTCATTCCACCTTTAGCTTCATTGTCAATCCAAGCAGAATTTCTCCCTGCTGCTTCAGTCCGTATGCATTCCAAATCTTTCATTACAGCTGCCCACCTATCAGGTATGCCTGTTAGAACTGCCCCAGCCCTGATCATGGCACCCTTAATGTCCCCATCAAACCCAGAATTTGTCCTGTCATCACAAGGCAGGCCCAGATTGCTCATTAAAGCTGTGTACAAATGGTGATTGTTTATAAAGAATGGCAAGTTACATGAGGTTTTTTCTGGTCTTGGCTGGCTGAACACTGAGTCAACTCTTATACATAAAGAAGCCTTATATTATGCTGACAATTTTGCGATTGAAGACTCTGTAGTGGCCAATATATTTAAGTTACTAGACTCTGAGCTAAGAGGTTTTCTCTCCATCGTTGGTTATTCACACTTTGAGA